ACTGCACAAGTGTTTGGTGAGTCCCTTTTCCTGTGTACCGGCCTCAGGGGTAGTGTTGGTGCTCTCTGATCTTGGAACTCTCTGAAGCCTCTCTGCCGCTCCTTTCTTTGCAACGGGGGCCCTGGGATTTGGCCAGCTGGGCCTCTGATGCTCCAAGAGACTCACTATCTTATAGCCCCAGGAGGTGGTCACCCCAGGCCACCAGGCCCCTTGGAAAGGGACAGTGCCTTGGAGTGGATAGCGGGGCTCTCAGGCACATCCAGGGCCACCTACCTCCTCCCACCACCTTTGTGTTCTCAGAGTGCTTGGAAACGGATCCTCCCCAGCCTCTCGGAGGTGGACGATTCCACGGATTTCTTCAAGTCGGGAGCCGCATCAGTGGACGTGGTGAGGTAAGAGGGGGCCCCTCCAGGACTCGTAGACCCTGTGGGTTCTGAGGAACCAGACCCAAGAAGCAGCCGTGGCCCCTCAGACCCATGGGCACCGGCCACTGGGACTCACCCACAATGGGAGACACATAGAAAACTGTGTATCTGTACCACTAGGATGAGCCTCTCACCTCTGGGGGTCTCTTGCTGTGTATGGGGGTGCAGGTAAGGGGCTGAGGGAACTGTCTGCACAGTGTTTTAAAATGGAAATACAGCCAGTGGCCCACGCCTGTCGTCCCAGTGGCTTGGGAGGCTGAGGCAGGAGGATCGCAAGTTGGAGGCCGGCCTCAACAATTTAGTGAGGCCCCCAGCAAGTCAGTGAGACCCTGTCTCTAAATAAAACACAAAATAGGGCTGGGGACGGGGGCTCCGTGGTTGAGTGCCCCTGAGTTCAATCCCCGGTACCACCACCACCACCACCCCCGCAAGAAAAATGGGAAATACAGTAAGATTTATGGATCTTAGGTGGTCAGTTTGGCAAGCCTTGATTTAATGTGTGTAAGTTTTAATCAAGACACAGAGGCATGGGGTACATTGTCCCCTGCCCCAACCCACAGGCAGTCTGTCACCTTAGATTCGTCTACCTGTCCTTCAACCACGTAGGAAGGATCCCACTTACTACCCAACGGTGGTAAATTCTGATCTGTGTGGAGGGAAGGTGAAGGAGGTATGAGTCTACCTTTGTTTGCAAAAAGGAGTAGGACTGCCAACCCCCTCTGGGGAGCAGGGCGGAGATTCCTCAAAGAACTTGAAATGGAACCACCATCAGACCCAGTTATCCCACTCCTGGGTTTTATACCCAAAGGACTTGGCGTATTACAGTGACACAGTCACATCAGTGTTTATAGCAGCTCCACTCACCACAGCTAAGCTAGGGAACCAATCCAGGTGCCCTTCGACAGATGGGTGGATAAAGAAACCGTGGTACACATTACACCGTGGAATATTACTCTGCCCTGAAGAAGAATGAGATGATGGCATTTGCTGGTAAATGGATGGAGCTGGAGACTATCGTGCTAAGTGAAATAAGCCAGGCGGAATGCTCTCTCTGACATGTGGATGCTGGGTTGCTTTGTCACTTTTATGTGTAGTAAACAAAGATCTAGTTGAATTCTTGTGCATGGGGACATCCAATTTTTCCTGAAAACGTCATCATTTTCTCTTTGCGTATCTTGGGGTTCCTGCCAAAAGATCGGTCGATCCGACGCGAGTAGGTTTATTCCTGGGCTCTGGGTTGTGCTCATTGGCTGAGGATGGCTGCTTTGATTCCTACTTGATTATTTTAGTTTGGTAGTGAACTTTCAAATCAGAAAGGTTGAGTCCTGTTGGGTCCGCCGCAGCCTGGGCCCGGGGCCTGGGTCCTGAGCTGCTGACCACTGCAGGGTGCTGGGACCCAGGCCAGATCAGGGCAGGTGGATTTAGACTTGCAGTCCCCGGATGCGGCCGGGCACGGGGCTCCTGATCCTGGGCCCCCTTTTCTCCACCCCCCCCCACCTTGCTGCAGGCTGGTGGAGGAGGTGAGGGAGCTGTGTGACGGGTTGGAGCTGGAGAACGAGGATGTGTACATGGCAACCGCCTTTGGGGACTTCATCCAGCTGCTAGTCAGGAAGTTGCGCGGGGAGGACGACGAGGGTGACAGCGACATCGACTACGTGAGTCGGGCCCCTGGGTGTTCAGGAAGCCGGGAGCCCAGCTTTCGCTTTCCCAAGCTCTGCCTGGCACCTAGGGGTGTCAGAGCCAAAGGGCAAAGTCAACTGGATCTCGCTGCCAGTGCTCAGTGGGAGGGTCACATCGGGTCCCCCAAGACGTGAGACCAGGATGAGTCCTCAACAGCGACAAGTTCATCCTGTAGATTCAGCACCGATCGGGGGAGAACTGCCCTCTCTGGAAGGAATGGGCTTTGGGGGTAGTTTGTTTGGCTGGTGGTTTGAAACAAAAAAGCTGGTGAAGAAGAGCCTGGTGGCCAGGGTGGACCCCAGGTTGCCCGAGGAAGAGTGAATAAATGACAGATTGCAGGAGGGGGAAGGGGTCCCAGGGATTCCCGTGTTCCCCATGGAATTTTGGATGCGCACAGAAGTGGGTGGCAGGGTGCTGGGTGGCACGTGTCCCCTGGTTTAAAGGGCCTCGCCACCCGGGACACTCCCGACCCGCTGCGAATCCCCCCTATGCCCTTGGGGGAGGTTGGGTCAGCAGGTCGAGGTCACACAGGGAGGAAGGGGCAGAGCAGGGACTCCAGCCCACGCAGTCTCCCTGGGAATCGGTGCTCCTCACGCCTCCTTGTCACTCGGCTGTCACCCACCTCAGGTGGAAAAATCAGTGAACAAGCTGGAGCTCCGCATGCCCCACCAGCTCTTCATCGGGGGGACGTTCGTGGATGCCGAGGGAGGCCAGACCTACGACACCATCAACCCCACGGACGGCAGCGTGAGTCTGGCCTTCCCTGCTCCCCGACTCCTCCTCCCCGCCCCAGCTCACCTCTGGCCCCGCCCAAACTCACTTCTCCTCTGGCCCCACCCACCTCTACTGACCCCGCCCCAGCTCACCTCTAGCCCTGCCTCAACTGACCTCTGGCCCCGCCCCACCTCTCCTCTGGCCCT